AACCAAAAATCCCAAAAAAAAATATGTCTTCTACATCAGAAAAATATTTGGGTCACGCTTTAGTACTTTACGCAACACATGCAGAAGAAAATACGGTTTGGATGAAAAAGTTCCGGGGTTTTTTGAACCCGCCAAAATGGGTTGCATGCTCTCATAATGTAAGGTTCTCATGCTCGTTCACAATACACACTGTACAGCACAGCACAGCACAACACAGCACAGCACAGCACAGCCAGCCAAAGTTTCAAGGCAGTACGCGAGAAAATGCGCGTATAAATCTTCATATATTGTTGTTTTTGTTGCTTTCCGTATTACGACTTCTTCTGTGTATGCAAAGCATATTTGCCTTCAACATAAATGCTGTATGCACTTTCGCCGCCACTAACGGCGGATAGATAATGTATGAATAGAGACGAACGAAAATGCTGCGCATACGAAATAGAATTTCCGGAAGTAATGTTTTTATCACTGCACTACAGTTAGACAAGAACTACAATAACAACAATAACAACAACAACTAATAAAGTTACTCCAATTTCATTACACATCAGTAGCAATAAAGTGTTGAACTTTGCCTATAGCAAAATGGCGTCGTCGTCAGTGGTAATGTGATGGGAGGGAGAGCTTTTGCTGGGGTCGGTTAAGTTTGTTGTTTGCGAAGTAAAAGGTGTGCTGTGCTAGCTGTACGTGTAACTGGAGATAAAGGATCTTTATGTCGGTATAGTACTTTGGTATACTGTGACTTATTTAGAATTTATGTAAAGTGCCGCACTTGTGGCACGTTCTCTCTGCTGAGTGAATTTTGGCAGTTTTAATATGAAACTAAAGCTAAGAGTGAGTAAAATGCATTACATTTTTTTGCATTATAAAATCTATAAAAATTCACATAAATTCACAAATTAACTGTTTTATTCTTAAATTATTAAAGTGATTCATGCATGTTTCGACTTATGGGATACCTTGCCCAAAGAGTCTCTTAGTAAGCAATAATAAAACTAATGCTACGAACAACTCATTTTGATTGGTTTTATTTGTTTTATTCTTGACTCTTGTATTAACCAATTTATTTTTATTGATATTGGCATGGATTTAATAAATGAATAATGCATAAATTTGGCTAATTTTATTGCTCAATCAAAACACAAGCTATAAATTTCTTATGGCGCCAGTTTGTTTCTGCAAAGTTTTTGACACCACATCATGAGACATAAGCACGCAATAAAAATAGTAGGAATGCGTACGCCAGACCAAGGAACCAAGGGAATGTGTCAAAAATAACTATGGGTTATATTACTTCCGGCTTTAAATATGAAGTTTGAAATGTACTTTTATACTAAACAAATAGTTTAACTAACTTTATGAAACAACTCCGCATATTTGTCATGTACTCCTATCAGTCGTTCTAGGTTGCAATACGTTTTGCTGCATTTAGAATGGAGTAAGCTAATTAAAAGGGATTTCAGATTATTTATGTTGATTTTAGAGTTTTGATAAAAGTTCTGAATCAATAAACTGAGCATTATCAGCACTAATTCATTTACTATTTACCATAAACATGCTCTTTCCGTTGAATTACTCTATATATATATACCCATAATTGGTAAAATCATGTATCTGTAGTCCCTAGTATGAAAACAACATATCTAACTAATAAAATCTGTAAGATTTTTATGATTGTTTACTATAACTATTTATGATTTTAATCCTTTTCTAATACTAAATTTGCTTAAACTTAAACTTAAAACAATCACAGCAGTTCTTATTATTTTTAAACATTACTTTTATATTCTAATCATTGTAGCGGCTACTGTTCCAAATAATTTATAAATAAAATTTTTTGCAAATGTGTTTTAATTACGAATTTTAATGGATTTAATGGGTAATTAAAACTAACTTAATTCTAATTATTAAATTATATGGGGATTTTTGTGTTGTATTATTTATTGCATGTAAAAACACTGCCGAGGTTATTTAATACTCGTTATATGTATTGTAGAGTATGACTAGTTTTTTTTTTAACTAACGATATACATATGTATGTACTCGTGTTACCTAAGAACAGGTAATTACCCAAGGTATAAACATCCTACAAATAAATAGTTCATTGGCCTAACATGCAAGTTCGAAATAAATTTAGAAATATACTCGTTGTTCTCTTCACATTTAAGTAAATTAACCACGCTTATATAATAATAATCGTAATAAAAAATAAACACCACAATTTTTATAACAGCAAAGAAGTAGAAAATCGAAATAAAAAAAATAAAAACTTCCAACTTCCAGACACATCATGAAATCATCAAGTTCATGCCGAAACATGAAACCCATCAAATAAGTTTCTTGACCACTTAACTTCGGAGATCTTTAAGAAAATAAAAATGTTACAAATGAAGAACACTGCTTACTTAATGATGAAATGGGCAAAAAAAATATAAAAAAATCATACGAAACATACAACAACAAAACGGAATTTTTTATCCAAAGACGAAAGGTTAAACATGAAATTCAGTTATTGTTTGGCGTAAAAATTAAGTCAACGTCAAGTCAACGTCTTGAGGAACGCGAGGTGTATTTGTTTTCCTTGCGGCCTGGCCAGCCTTATGGTCGTATGTGGTTTTATTTTTTATATTTTTTTAACCTATAAAGTCGAAAAATAACCGCGACATAATTTTAAATAATTTCTAGGTTTGCTACGCTTTGTTGACCACCAAAGACGCTCGCTCAGAATGACTCAGAAGATACAAAAATATTCAGTTTCTCTACAGTTTCTCATTTCTTCCTTTTTTGTGTATCTTCAGCTCAGACGTTTCTTATAGCGGGGCGATATGAACTTTTTATGTTATATCCAAAAATGAAGAAATAATAGTAAGAGAGAATGGAATCCATAACAGATGAGTGTAGTATATAAACAAATGAAACAAGTAATTGACAGTGCATAAACAATAACATTGCTTGCTGCTAACGGAGATATTAAAATTATATAAAAAATTAGTTAGTTATGAGTGTTTCAAATTGCCGCCAAAGAGCTTTAAGATAAGTGAAAGAAATAACTTGCACAAATAAATAAAGCATAAGCGCATGAAGTTGTTCGTTTAAGCGTGACGACAGACCCCATATTAAAGATAATAATGTCTGGCCCCGCATCGAAATATCATTCATTGAATTTTTGGGTTTCCATCAACAGATATGAATTATGAGAAACCATTTGAAAAATAAAGCTACTTATACTACCTATACTCTCACCCTGTTGAAAATAAATATTGATAATGGTTTAGTGCAATTGAAAATTGTAGTATTTTAAGCAAACTATAAATACTATATCTATATTTATTTGTCGGGAAATTAGATTTATGCCATTTCGATTGGTGTTGGAAATTATGGATAATGTCAGTGTAACTACATTTTAAATACCTATATGAGTGAGTTCAAATTGACAAGAAGTGGAAGCGGATAAACGCTGTGCCTGCATTTGAAATTTGATGTCTTTAGGGCTGATGTTAAGGGAAACATTTAAGTAAAAAAAAACTCACTTATTGACAATAAAATAAAAAATATAGTAGGCAAAATCATTGGTTGTAACAATAAAATAGGGATTTAACTGGATAATATAAATACCCTTAGGTATTTAATGAGTTCTAGGAAAATAACTACGCTGTGACAATGTCGTATTCGATAGTTTTACAACTGATAAACACATACTTAGGTCTATGTTTATAAAATGCCCATAGTTATTTATTTAAAGTTAATATTGCCATTTGTGGAGCTTATTTTGCAATACTTTAAATATAAACTCCATTCAAGATTACATCATATTAGTGAATTATGTTTTTTGTAAGAATTCCAAAAAAAAAAATATAATCGGCATATGTCAGCATTAATGTTGAAGTCTTCCTTCGACAGATAACAGGCGCTACTTTAGTTCGCTAAAGCCCTTATTTTCTGTGGCGTTCATTCCTATCCTCCTCATGCTAAGTGCGTTAAACGTTTTTGACAAATACGCAAGCCATATAGGAATTTTAAACTTCAACTCTCGTTTGTATAGAATGTTATTCCTAAGTTCCCTTTAAATTCAATCTATACTGAAGCTATGATATTGACCCTTAAAAAGGTAAAAGTACATGTCTAATCTGTACATGTCAATAACTGACATTAATTCAAAATATTTTTGCTTTAGGGGATTCATAAGCACCAATGATTTGACCATACGCCACGTGGCATTTATTTGTGGTCAGCACACAATGGTGAATAAAATGGAAAATTCTTAAATATGTAACAAATACATAGGGCAAGGGCATATCTCTCGAAGAAATAAGTGAATAAATTTTACAAAAAAATGGGAAAAAAAATGGGAGTAAAAATTTTATGTTTCTATGAACTAGAAAATAATAATGCTGTGTTTTATTTTATATAAATAAAAACTAATTTAAAATGCAATTGGAAAAGCCTTAGGCGAATTCACGTGCACACAACGACTGAGCACAATATTTGCTTATTCCATGTACTTTTTGAGTTTAGAGGAAGTAATCACAAAGTCATGAATTAAACATTTTAAAATGCTTAAGGAATTGAATCATTTTGTGCGTATATATATATATATATATAGTAATATACATAAAAATAATGGTCTATACAATGCACAAGGGGTGAATAGAACGAACTCATATATTAGAATTGTTATTTGGATTTCTACCATAAGGT